TCTTCCAACTTTGCAAGCTCAGCCCTGAAACTGTTGTATTTCTTGGGAGAAAACCCCATCTGAAAATCACTATTATCATCAAAAACCCACTTTTCAAAAAATCCTATTATTCGAAAGGAAGTTCCTATCGAACTGAAATTGTTATGGAATATATATTGCTATGCGATCTAGCTCGAGTGAAAATTTCAGACCTCTATCATATTTGTAACACTCTCGGTTGAGTTTAGTGTGCATCGTTATATACTATCACTTTCTTATTGAGTTGACTGTTCATGCACGTTGTTCCAACCGTATCATGTTATCGAGTGTTATATCATGCTTTGCTCTTCTCTCTTACATATTGTATACTGCTCATCACTTAACCGTCTGCTGCCGCTTATCGTATTCAGTTTATCTTTTCTCCTTATATAACCACATATCATTATTTAGTCTAGCGCATGCTTCTACTCCGATCAATGTTCAATGCTTGCTCTTTGTCTTTGTCTTTCTCTTTCTCTTGTTATAATATCTATTCTTGTCCTCTCTCGTTCTACGCTGGGTATATAAAGAGTAGACGAGAGAGAATAAAGGCATTCTGGTGTGGAATAAACACTAAAATCGTTACAATATTTCCATCACGAGTTATGAAGCACCAAAGTTGTTCAAAGCATGAATTTTTTCTCATTTTGGATGAGTCATAAAAAATGAAGAGTTTTTTTATTTTGACCTGAAACTTATATGATAGCTATGACTCATGAAGATACATGCTCATAAAAAATTTCAGCTCAATCGGTCATTCTATTCTTGTGACATAGTTGTGTCAGCACCCCCCTTGGCGGAGATGCTGATTTTTAGTGCTTTTCGTAAAACAGCCATAAAAATTTAACGGTTCAATATTTTTCAAAACGGCTTGCGCCAAAGTTCATAAAACTCTTCCATCTATCATAGTATCTTAGATTGAGCAAAATCGGAAGACCTCGTTTGAGCAGCTTCCCTAGGCATTGGTCGTATCTTACGTGGACTGGCTCTTATGTAGTACAAAATGAATTTACTTTCTTTTGTTCTTGGCGTACGCATAGAAAATTTGCGTTTTCAGTTGTGAGGATTTCGAGAACGAAAAGTTACAAAATATTCTCTCAGATTAATCACATCTGTTGTTTTTCATACCTTTAGATGATGTTTTACTTTTTTGCCAAATATTTCTACAAAACGGCAATTTTTTGTGAACTTTTTTTTCCGTTTCGAAATAATTAAAATGAAAACATTAAGAACCTTTAGTTCGCACTGGTTTTTCACAATTAATTTTATGCATTAGACGTGTGAGATCAATTGATAATAGATAATATATTAGACAGATAATTAAACGATCAGTCAATAGAGATCTTTGAATACATATCTGTAAGAATTAGTTCAAATCGCGTAACAATTAATTTTGTCATGTTGACTAATAATTATTGTTTACTCTTACTCGACTGAAAAACTAATTAATATTAAAATATTTTTATTGTTTATTGTATTAAAGCAGTCAAAATAAAAAACAAAGTTACAACAGGAAAATAAACATAAAATCTTTTGAATGCTCTGTTTGTTTTTCAATAACTAATTGTTCCACACTAGCGCAATTGAGCCGTGTTGCATCTCTTGTAAAATTGTCTGTTACAATTGTTAATCGATCATAATTAACTATTAATTTAGTTAGACGAGGTAGATGTATTTTTGTATCATTAAAAAACTGTTCGAAGTCATCAATATGAGATTTTTCCAGACTAAGCGAAATAAGAAAAAGATATTCAACAATTGAGTAGAATTGTTTATCGTTATAATTCTTATTGCCTGATATTTGTGACTGTGATATGTAAAATTAATAACACTCAATTCTTAAAACAATGGGAAAAAACGAGCTATTCGAAGAAAAAATTCATGTTTGGATAGAACTATATGGTGGACTGGATGTGGGTGTGAATGTTGTGTTCTGTTCACCCGTATCCACACCAACACCCTTGAATCGTTTCATAAATGTAATATTATGCTTTTTCATTCCTCCAGTTAATTCAAACATAGGAAAAACATGACCAACTCTACCGATAGTAATCATCAATACATTCAAAATCACAAATAACAGAAAACTATTTACTGCTATGATACTTGTGCGAAAAAGTACGTTGCCGTAGTAGAGAAAAAAAATGTACGTTTCTCTTTTTGTGCTCTTATCTTACACAAGTGTGAAGATTCACAGGTGAGCTTCATAAAACCGCTGATGACTAGAAAGAAACGATTCAAAACGCCGTTTTACTTCAAGATATTTCGAAGGATAAAACCTATAGTCAGTAGGAGATATAAGACATCTACTTCGGGATGTGAGTGTTGGCAATTAGTGTTAATGTGAAGATGAGATGAGGAGTACACACACATGGAGTCTCGCTTTTCCTATGGCATGCTCTTCATCTGAAACATTCTACTATTGATATTTCTTGTCCTTCTCAACTGAGTGTGTCGTTGAAAAAACTAAAAAACCACGATAGATAAGAAACATATAATGTTGTCATACTACTAAGACAAGAAACGAATCATTCAAGTAAACAAGCAAACAGAGCCACATATACAGGGTAAGCCATAAACAACTCAACAAAATAAAAATAATTCGCCTGAATCAATCGGATTAAATCTTTTCCTCAGCGATAAAGATGAAGTCAAGGATTTTTTTCATTTGAGAGCAATCAACAGATGGTGCTTTGAAGTACTATTATTGGCTTCAATGAAAAAATGAGGTCTTTTCTGATCACTAAACATGCTTTCGAAGAAGCATCCGAAATGCTTTTGAGATCATATTTTGCCCGATACTAGTGGATCATGAGACTGGAAAAACCTCCCAATTGTTTGTTCTTCTGTTGAGTTTTGGTGAAGATAGTGATTTTTTTGTGAATTTTCTCCACTAGTACCCGAATTTTGCAGTATAATTGTGATCTTGAATGTCGTCCTAAAACATTGCTTCGATCAAAGTCTCAATTAGACGAACTTATGTACTAAATTTCAGAATTATAAAGTTTCAAATTTATTCTGTTGTCCATAATGTTATCTATCGTAGTTTTCGAGAGAAACTGTACGATGATTTGAGTACGAACATTTTTAATTATTTAACTAATATCACAAGAATTATTCAGAAGAAAATCTGTATTATTTGTTTGCAGTGAACAAGCAAACATGAAGAAAATGTCGATAGAACCCATAAGCGAAGGTGATCCAGATATAAACAAAAGATTGGTGAAACCTGAAGGCGAAATTCATCGTCACCAACATAGAAATGTTCAGTATGGAAAACCGTATTTTGCAGTGTTATTGGCAGCCTTTTCTTCATTGGGTGGATGGTTTTTTGGCTATGACCAAGGTGTTACAGGTGGTGTTGTTGTCATGAATTCATTTAAAAATGACTTCTGCGTTGGCTTATACGGTAATGAAAGTGTTTGTGATCTACCCGTAGGTGCTTTGCCTTCTGATTACAGACGATTCTTAGTACTTTATACACTACTGTATAATGTCGGATGTTTTATTGGTGCTGCGTTCATTTCTTCATTTGTAGCAGAAAAATTTGGACGTCGAGCCATTATTTTCACGGCATCGGTTTTGTTTTTAATTGGTACATCAATGGTTATTTTTTCACCAGGAGGTTCCAAAAAGATAATGATTTTCATACTTATTGCGCGGATTGTCGAAGGAACAGGTGTTGGTTGTTCTTCATTTGCATGTCCATTATATGCTTCTGAAATAGCTCCAACAAATCTACGTGGGATGCTTTCTGGTTTCATGCAAATGACTATAGTAACTGGTTTATTTCTTGCCAATGTGGTAAATTTTCTATTGCAGCATCATAAATGGGGTTGGCGATTGTCAAATGGAATCATATTGATCGCTCCAATTACAATTATGATCGGGATATTTTTTTGTCCTGAAACTCCTCGATGGTTGTTCAAGAAAAAGAGCCGAGAGTCGGCCGAGAAAAGTCTAAAGCGCATCCGTAAAATAGATGATGTAACAGCTGAGCTAGACGCTATTGTCGATGCTATACAAGATGAAGGTAATCAAGTTTCAATCAAAGAACTATTGACAACTAAGAAGATGCTTCGAAGACTTGGTATTGGTATGGGCATTCATGTTTTAAATCAGGGAACGGGCATTAATCCTATATTTACATTTGGTGGTATTATTTATGAAAGTGTTCTTGGAAAAGGAATTGTATCATTATTGATTTTATCTGGTGTAAACCTGCTAAGCACAATACCAGCCTTGTTCTTAATTGATAGACTAGGTCGTCGAAAACTTCTCATTTTTTTTGGATTAGGTATGGTAGTTGGACATCTTGTGACAGCCACAGTGTTTGTTACAGGTTGTAATGTAGTCAAAACAATCATCAATAACACTACAGTGAGTGAAGAAATTGTGAATTGTAAAAAAAATTCTGGTATACTAATGCTTGTCTTTACAGTTATTTTTGTAAGTTTTTATGCACTTTCTTGGGGAGCAGTCGTCTTTGTTTATGTAGCTGAGATTTTCCCTCTTAACGTTAGGGCTAAGGCTATTTCAATAGCGACCGGAAGCAACTGGTTTATGGGTACGATAATGTCTTATATATTGGAGTTAATAGCCCCATTAGGAATACATGGAGTATTTTATCTTTTTAGTGGTCTGTGCTTATTGGGTGTAGTATTCGTCTATCATTTCTGCCCAGAAACAAAAGGGGTTTTACTAGAGGATATTGAAGAAGAGTTCGATAATTTCTATTTGAGGAATAGAACAACAAAACAATATTGCAAAAGTCCTGTCAGCAGCACAGAAAAAGCAGAGCTAAAATGAGAATATGTGAAATAGACTGAAAATATATTGTTTCTATTAATCTGCTGTTTTAGTATTTTTTTAAGTGTGAATTGAATATGTATTGCTATTTTCATACAACGTTTTGTTCATGTGTATAACATCAAAATAAATAGATTCACTTGAACATTATTTTCTAAACAATAGGAATATCTATTAGACACGACCTACACACGTTCCACAGAACGAGGTAATCATATTGCGTATAGGTAAGTTTCTTACCAGTATTTCTTGTTGTTTACATAATAGAAAAGCTCTCTAATTAAAATCTTTTTTTCATACAGATGGACTATATATAGTTCACAAAATAAACCTCGAAACTTAATTGTGAATAGAGCAGTCATTGTCATGATTTTTTGCGTTTTGAACAAAGAATCGATATTTCAGAACCATTTAAGTCGCATTTTCTTTGCGAAATACAAATCGGTCAGCGATATTCTCGGTTTTGTCCATTATAAATAGAAACAAAACGGACTGATAATGTTATAATTCTAACTAAAAACAAAGTCCTCATTGATGAACACTTGTACAATTATTCTCCCGTCACCTATTTCTAGTTTCCGAATGAAAGAGTTCGTATAGGGCAGTATAGATCTTTGAGAAAGGAGCAAAAAGTCTCTTGACTGTTGTTCGAAAGTTTTCTACTATTTATCAACGAAAAACTTTGATGGTCGAATTTCTATCCGGGTGTGGATGTGGATGTATTGCTTCGGATTAAGAAAGAGCCAAGAACCACACCCAGATCTAGACCAGTACCCTACCCGATCTTCAAATAATGACAATTCAACTTATCTTCTTAAAATAAGTGATGTCATTGCGTCGAAATCGATCAACTCAATAACTTGAAATAGTTTCAAACGAATTGTTATAAAAAAAGAAAGATAGAATGTCAATTGAACTCAAACATTGTTCATTTGATATTTGAATTGAACAAATTTCAATTGAATGATATTCACAAATAAAATTCATCTTGGTTCAATTCACAACAATATATGGTATGCTTGGTGTATTCAATCCACACCCACACCCCTATAAATTCGATTTAAATTTCAAATAACCTTAAATTTTTTACAATTTATTTCTAGATTTAATAAATATTTGAGAATGTAAATTGATGACTCTTAATCTCTGATACAAANTGGGGTTTGCGTAGTTTTGTAGGGATTCGTTTGGCGGTTCGAATGCGCTATTTGAAGGGAAGACAAAACTCTTTTAAGTAATCGCAGTGACACGGTTTTTAGAGATCTAGAGAGAAAACCGTCAAGAAACGTTGCAAAAAATATCCATAATATACAGTTCGATGTGTCTAAACACCCTCTTTCCAACGGTGAAAACCGTAGCTCTCTATCATGTACCCATCAAAAGTTATTCGAAAAATACCCACTGCTCTTCTATTTTGAAATGGATATTAGTTGCATGGGACAGTTTCTATCGGGTTCAAATCGTCATACTTGTTCGCTCAGTACCGTCGGTCTATGATAATCAGGACAAATTGATTTGGACAAAAAAATGTAAGCAAACTGAAACCTCTTTATCTGTTTAAGAATGCAAACAATGTACATCAGAATCTCTGGAAAAGTGTTCCGCTACAGTGCCCTCTGTAGTGCATTTTTTGATATTTATTCGATGGTTCATCAAGTTCAGTGTGTTTACGAAGAAGAGAAAATATGAAATACCGCTTATTCTACGAAAATGAGTTCTATATCAGAAGAAAGCACCGTTTACTTTATATTAGTGCGCACGAAATGCAAGAGAATAGTCTGTTTTTTCCAAATAGGTTGTCACAAAATGTTCAAGTTGTGGATAGTTTTCTTTTTTTATACAGTCAACGTTCCTAATAAGAACACAAAGTCAAAAAAATGTTCCTATTAGTGACAGACCATGTAAAATACATAGAAAATCAACTTTTATCAGTAAATGAACTTTTTTCAAATCTGAACTTAGAACCTTTTTTGTGCATTCGCCACAAAAAATATTTCTTTATGGTATAGATATGAAATATGATGTCTAGTAATGAACTGTTTATTCATAATTGTTTTAAAAAATTCTGAAAATATTTCTTGAGTCAATGAACTGATTTACTCAAGTATTGATGTGCTTATGTCTGAAAAGTACGAAAAATTCATCCCGAGCGTTGTATATACTTAATGAAATAGCTCGATCTATGTTCTCATGTCAAACTTGAACGACATCAATCACGTCGTTGTCTAATTTGTTTTATTTCCCTTGGTATCACGTTTTTTTGTGCTGATGATGGGTAGTATTCTTATTTATCGACATCTTCTTTCATAAATTCCCATTATTGAATTTGTATGCAGATTTCAATACAAACTTGTTAAAACATTTTTATCTTTTATTTTATAAATTGAATAACTATTGCATCAATGTTGCTGAATAAATAGTCCCTTGCTTATTAACACTTACAAATGAACAGCAAGATAACATTAATAGAACCAGAAAGGTGTATTTATGTAACAAAATTTAACTGAAGAAACATACATTGATATGGTTCCGGTTTTTGTGTTAATTATTTCTACGCTTGATTTGGAGTAAATTTAAGTTTAAGATATTTATATTGGTCACAATCGGAATCAGCATAGACGATAATCAGCAATTCACTAGTTTTCGATGAATAAGCGATTGGTTAGTTGAAAATGTCTCCTCGTTAGACAAAGACGGCAATCGAATGAAACGCGCTTCGATAACTTTACACTCAAAAAAGCGATATTTTCAGGCAAAATTAAAAGGGATAAAATAAAAAATCTTGAAGTTTTTTCATCTGACGTACTTTATTAATGTTCATTAAAAGATGCCTATCACATCATACTCATTCTTCTATATAAATAACAACAAGAAAAGAGTTGATTCATTCGGTGCATCCAACGCTGCCATTATAAAAAGAACTAGTAATTAATCTGTATATTATTATTCCTAACATTCTAATATCAGGAAGGATCAATTTAATTTCCGTTAAATAAGTCACTAGTGTCAGTTGATTGAAGCATTCATCCACAAGATCATTATATTGTTTTTGATAGATTAATTAAAATAAATAAATATATGATCATGGAACACATTCAAATATATTAATGCATGAAGAATATTTTCCTTCATTTCTTATTTTTTTGTTTTGAATATATCTTTTTTTTAATTTTAATTTCAATTCTCAATAGTTTATCAGTCATACCATATTATATCAGTTTAAATATAGAATAAATGGCATTTTGTGTTCTATTTAATTATAATATTCTTCGTAACAAATTATTTAGTTTTTAAAAATACTTTCTTGTATATATATCCACTTTTTGCATTATTTCTATGTATAATTATAATTTTTCCAGTAGAATTACAATTTTTTTTTCATAAAGAAACGCATACTATCTGAAATTTCAAATATCTTTCTATTAAAATAATGTTGTGTGTCATAGTTTTGCGGTCGTTCAAGCATGACAATAATGATGACAACGTGAATGTTATAGATAGATCTTTTTTAAGAATTTTCTGTCCTTTGTTTCCTTCTTTTCATCAAAATTTATTCATTGCTAAATCAAAATCTGAATATGATGCTCATATTCGTTCAGTAGCATCTAGCCGCAATCTTAAATAAAATTGAAATTAACACTATATTAAATCTTTATTGTTATAATGTCATCTTAAAAAAAGCTATAGCCAACAAAGACTATCGTTCGAACAAAAGTTTCTATATGAGTGTTTTTCCGAGTTCTTATTGTTATGTCAGATAGTTCATCGATTTGATTATGAAAATTCTTAATATTAATGGTTTGATTTAGAATATCTTTTTCATGCCAACAATTTTCTACAATAGGTCAATCAAATATCAATACAATAATATAATATACAGTAATTCTCGATACCAAAAGATTTGTTGATCATTGATTCTATCATTAAGATTGACAAAAAAAGACAGTTGTGTATGTGTTGGCATAGTGAAATATAAGATAGAGCTCCAAAAATGTTTTTTGCGAGTGAAGTAGTTTTGCATAAAGTCATTCTAATCACACAAGACTACATACTGTGGACGTATCAAATACACATCATCATCTCTACTTGACGTGAAAATAATAGCGTGTCTATGATTTTCATAGTAGGAAACTTTTAATGAAGCTTAGTTGATGTGACTTCGTTAAATGGGGTCTCAATCACCCTTGCTTATGCCACTACCTGGAGATGTCAATGTGGCTCTACCTTTGAGCGTGAATAATAATGTTTAATGATCTCATAGATCAATTCTCATTCGAGTAAATAGAAATAATTCATTTTGTTCCATTCAATGCTAACGATGGGTGAGAACTCTCTCTACTGCATCTAGGTAGAGAATAAGGAAATGTGAAAACATTATTCTCACACATAATGTGCAATTAAATGGGTTGACAGGCATGTTATTTTTCTTTTATTGAACTATTCTTTATAAAAAAATCATAAAAATGTGCGCATTCTTATAACACTCGCCATCAAACTATATACAAGAAATACCATATTTTTCGATCTGCATTGCAATTATTGTTTTTTCTGAAGTAATCATGGCTTCTATCTCCCCAAATGATAGCTTTACCATTGAAGTTAATGACACTGAATCGTCATCAGTTACAATATTATTTACCTCTGTACCACCAATAGCTTGTTTTTGGATTATGCTCATATTTTTAATACCGTCTTTAGTTTGTTCTATTTTTCTTCTCTACAATTTTTTCTTTGATCGAAAACTACGACATGCATTGAATAATCATGTTATTATTGCTCTTCTCATCGTTGGACTATTCTCTTTACTTCTTGACGTTCCAAACTATCTTAACTTTATTCGACTAGGATATGTTTGGCCTCAATTAACAATCATATGTTATTTATGGTGTTTTGTGGATTTGTCTTGTTTCAATTTACTTGGTTTTCTCATGGCTTGGGCTACAATTGAACGACATATTCTGGTCTTTCATAATAATTGGATAAATACTCTGAAAAAACGTTTTCTTCTTCATTATTTACCATTAACAATAATCATTCTATATAGTCTTAGTTTTTATACGATTGTCATTTTTTTTTCATCATGTGAGAATGAATTCGATTACACACAAGATTGGTGTGCTTATCCATGTTATTCTAGTCAGAAAAATATCATGATATATGATAATTTTTTCAATTTTGTTTTACCAACTCCTCTGATTGTTATCGTCAATAGTTTGTTAATTATTCGTATTGTCAAACAAAAACAACGTCTTCATCAACATATGAAATGGAGTAAATATCGGAAAATGATTTTACAAATAATGTCATGTTCAACCATTTTTCTTCTATTCAATCTTCCTATGTTGTTACTTCTTGTCGCTCATGCTTGTGGTTTACCATATGAAGCAACTGGTCAAGTTGAACTCTTTTTTTATTTTCTAGCTTATTTCATCAATATTTCTATGCCTTTCGTATGTCTTGGATCGTTGCCGGAGATCTGGATAAAAATACGCCGAAAAATAAAGCATTTCACTAACAGAGTAACTCCAGAAAATATCACATTGCGTCCAAGTACAATGAAACAACTTACATTCGAACGATGATAGAACATAATCTTCTTATTGGAATATATGGTAACTCAACATACAAAGAAATTTACAGTGAATGGAATGTGTATAAGATTTTAATATAGTTCAATGCATGTTATGACTGACAAACTTTAACTGCTTTTAAAATAGAAGTCAAGACTGTCAAAGTTGTTAGATGTGGTACAATTTGAATTGAATAAAATAATCTTCAATTGTTTTAAAAAAGAAGCAATATCGTTTGAGTTTTAGAAACAAAAATAAACTAGATGTGTTTCCACTAGTCTCTTTCTTCTGGATACTTCTTCTTACAGGTGGTTTCAAGAAAAAAAATCTTTCAAAGGTTTCACTGCCATCTGGTTGTATTCTGTAGTGACTCATATATATTGCATAGAATGAAAAGAGTAGCCTAACAATTATTTGAGAATTATCGGAAGATTGATCTCTCCAATCTTTGTGGCTTACTAGTAGTCATCATATTTCGTGAAATCCATAATAGTGTCTATTATTCTGTCATTTTATTTCAGTTGAGTTTTTTTACTCGATAGATTGGGTCCCATCTATTCAAGCATGGCCTTTCACACTCACTCTTATTCAGATTCAGCTCTTATCACTGAATTCAATTTAATTCATTTGTGTCGTTTATTATTTCAACAGTGATATAATGCACTATTTTTGAATCATTGTCTTGGAGAACCTTAAAATCTCATCATGGAATGGATTAGTTTGTGCTGAAGTTTTGAAAATTTTCATTATATTTTACGATCAACTACAATCGAACACTAAACTTCCATTCAATTGTGAAAGTCTTGGGCATACGTGAAATCGTATGAATTTCTACGAAACTCGCATACACATGCCGATGATTTATGTTAATTTCCGATTTCATGCGTGACCATGCCAATATATAAAAATTCCTTTGCTTGTACTCAAGACAGTATTGCTTACACATGTAATCGTTTTTGATCTCACAAGAGCTTGCAAAATTCTTGCGAATCTACGTGAGAATTTCCAATCACGGATACACGCACACAATTTACTTGAACTGGTATCCATAATAGCAAGCATTTCATAAAGGGTGTATCTATACGCGAGTAAATCAAACATTCTAGGACGTAGATGCCACCGGTGACGCATTTACACACAAAATTCACGCTTTTTCTCAGCAGCATATTATCCCATGCAAAAAACTGGTATTCAACCAATAATATTCATAAGTATACATATCTGTATCGTTAGCACTTGACTGCATTAATTTGATTCTGTTAGATGTGTCAATGAAAATATATCACATATTGTTTGTAATTTCTCCGTAAAATTTTAACTTTTTCATAGCTTCGTTAGCATGCATTACACTGTAGAATAGTTTCCACAACAACGCTCAATATGTAAGAGCATTTGTGAGTGATAATCAATAAGACAGAATGATCGAAAAGTAAATGCATTCATCTTCCAATGTGACATACCAAGTTCAAATTTATGTAAGTCCGCTTATGTGCTATCTCCCATGTATATCCATGTTTTGCTGTAGAAACTTATCCATGCACACGTACCATCTGCACGCGTTGATAAGCGTTCTTACACTTCCGTGATTGACTGGAATTTCGAACAAGTATCAATTCATTCGGAAATATTCTTAATAGATAATTGTAATGAAGTTACCAAATATTTTATATTACAAACACAGCTATGTATTTTTATGAACAGTTCTTTATCTGTTAAATACTCATGCTCATAATATGCTTTGTATTTTTGACATTAACTTATTGAACACTCTGATCTACTACCAATAGTACTGGTAAATAATTGGTTCAATCGATTGTTTTTAAAAGAAGATTGATCAGTTTTCCATAAAAATAAGGCGCGTACTATACGAAATAGTGTACAACAATGAAGCATCACCACAATGATTCTTGCCAACTTTCTGTGGAATTTTTGTTGAACTAGCTATACAAAATTTAGTGAGTGCTAGTTGCAACTTTTTGAAAGTAATTTGTTCTATTTCATAAATAGATTGATACTTATGTGAATCGAATTTTAACAATGATCGGTGTGATATATAGCGATTGTTTGCCTACAACGCACAGATACCTAGAACAATACAGGAAAAAACAAAACAAAACCGTAGTTATTTTTGCAGCTTGTCCTATTACATTGTAATTCGCCTCCATCATTTCTTTTCGTTGAATATATGGACGATACAACTACAGATCGAACAATCAAATTGTAGCATATAATTAATCAATGCAAAAAAAACAGTCGTCACAGTAGTAACATCAAACAAACATAACGGCAAAAGTTACTCATAGTTTAGTCTTTTTATTTAGTTATTATTGTTTCGATCAATTATTTAACTGTGAACAAAAAAGGGTGTGAGTGTAGATGGGCATGGTCGATGAAAGAATGAGACACACCCACACTATTAACTTTTTGGCTATCGACATTAGAAAGAGAAAAAAGTTCTTTAGGGCGTTACTATATCTATTTAATTTTGATCCAATTTTGCAGATTCATATTAGATAACGTTAAATCTTCTGTGTGATATGGAAATCTTTGAAACCGTTAATAATAGATAGCTCGGTATCGCATTTAGTACACTGGTGACGCATGTCGCTTCATTTCTTCACACGTCGTTCAGTATTGCTGCAAAGGTAATATCTTCTCTGAAGAGTCTGGCTACTTTCGTTTGGAGGAATTAGAGACGGAAAATGTCTGACTTGCAATCGCAATGGAAGAGCACTCAATGATATGCCAACATGCGACTCGTTCGACCTGTACTTTGCAATGAGTTTTTGAATAAGAAGAAAGAGAACAAAAGATAACCATATCTACAACAAACTGACTGTTTGCTATACACATTCTTTTTTAAGTCACGATTCTCCAACATACCATTATGAAATGATGGTATCACAGACTTCACCTACTTGATGCTTGTTTCTATGCAACCTAATCTAAAAAATATGCACTACGATTGATTGTGTTAGTTGTAGACGCTGATGAAGTTCACGAGTGTTCATAAACGGCGACTGGAACCAATGGGTTAATTCGACTCCACTTCACTCTACTTCACTGGTATGACTAGTGATAGCTCGCACTAGAAGGGTGCAGATGTGGATGTGTGGTGTAGCTTATCCCTTCAAACAGATCTCGCACCCACACACAATGATTCAAAGGAATGCATTCATCACAGCATGCGTGAGCATGCGTATGGCCTGTGATTGGTGTGTGTGTTGTATAATGATGCACAGAAAAGTCCTATATCCGCATCCTCGCTTGCTCACAGATATTTAACCACGTTCAAGTGTCACACATGTGCACCCTTGATTCTATATTTTATCGATATTCTGTTCAGAATTATTTCAAAAAATACTAACGCTTATATCAGTTATTATTGCTTGGTTTAAACCAGCTTCATGTAGCCAGAAAGTGATGTGGGTGCGAGTGAAAAGTAACCCTTAATCCACACATATCTACACAAACATTCACACTCATACTTACATCACATCTGAGAAAATTGCTGGTAGGAAGTAGATAGTCATGTTTCCATCAAGCTGAAATGTGTATCTTTCTATGGTGAACCCCATTCAGAGATTCAAGCACTCACTGATGAATTTCTGGGTATGAAACATACGATTGATATCGAAAGATCTCAAAATCTCTCTATAAAAGATATAGTTATTGTAGATGAATAGCTACAGTATGGTTCAATTCGTTACTTGCAGTTTCTCAGTATGCTTCATCTGTTTTCGACATGAAGTACACAAAAGTAATAACTACAGATCATCACCTTTAAAAATCAAACTGAAATAATAGCGTCATCAAATCAAAACTGTGGTATTATATAAACCCAAGAAACACTTTGAAAAATCATCTAATAATAATAATGTTGTCCTTTTGCATTTCTTGACACACATGTAAACAGACAACTTGAAGTTTAGCATAAGTTATGATAACTTGAAGGGATGCCAAACAATGTTTATTCTGCAATATAAACGTGAGATAACTCGCATCTAATTTCCTCCTTTTCTGCAAGATGTCAAATAATATTTTTCTTCTATTCAAAAGTATAGACATAGGTTAGCATTTATACGTAAGATTTCAATTTTGTGAGAAAGAAAGTAGCAAGCCATTTGGCGCAGTTTCTATGTCGAATGAATCGCTCATTGTTGTTTCTCAGTATCTCTATATCTATGTGGAGTTCTTCGCTAGTATAATCGATTCGATCGACAGCGTACTAAGTATCATAGCATTTCTTGGTGGAAAAAAATATCGCATCCTTTCAAGTTCAACATTTCTAGCTGGAGCCTCCTTTGGTGAGCTATTAGCAATCATTTCTCTTATTTTGTCACAATCGTTTGCTTCTGCAACACGATTTTCGAGGCATGTCATTCGTCTTTTGTAAATTAACTTCACTTCTGTATCCTGGTGGTGGTATGCTGGCTCTCTTATGTTAATATTTGGCTGCAATCGATCGGTGTTTGCAAACATGTCGCTCAGCTATTAAACGCCAGTGGATGACATTAAACACAGCTCGATTACTATTTTTGATTACTGCTCTCCTATTCACTAGTATGGGCGTTCCTTTCAGCGTATTTCGCGATGTAATACCTACGGAGGAGGTGTGCGACTATAACAATGCCACATTTACTCGATTTTCATTCTATTTGTATGCAATTCTTGGTTTGTTTCTCACCATTAGTACTCTTGAGTGCTTTAAGCTATCTCACCTGGCGCAATCTTCAACAGACTCGTAAGCGTCAAATTATAAATCAAAATGCAAATAATATTATGCAACATGTAATTTGAATGATTTTGATTCAAACAGTCGCAATTGTTGTCTCCGTCATACCAGGTGCAGCTCTAAATCTTTATGGGGTTATGTTTCACAGGAATTCTTTAATGACAACAGCTACAGAAAGCTTTCTCCTTTGTGTCACAAAAATTTTGGCTTATACGAACTCTTGTACTTCATTCTATTTATATCTAGCTCTGTCAGCAACTTTTCGACGGAATGTCAG